CCGCGCGGCTGGCCGAGGGTACGTGCGGCGCCCGCCCGCCCCCCCCGCGCGACGGCGGCCGTCCCGGGGCCGCCGCAGCGCCTCCGCCCGAGCCCGTCCCCCGGCGCCCGCGGCAGGAGAGGCGGCCCGCCGCCCCCTTCGCCGCAGGGCGCTCCTCCTCCGCGGGCGGCCCGTTCCGCGCGCGCGGGGGCTCGGCGGGACTCCCCAGTGCGGGCTGCGCGGGGCCGCCGCCCGCCCTCGGGAGGAGAGGGGCGCGGGTGCAGCTCCGCACCGGCCCGACGAGGACCGAGCGGCGGGGCCCGTGGCGTGGCCGTTGGCAGCCTGGGTGGGGGCAACCGCGTGGCTTCCGCCCGTGCTGGGGGCTGTACTTCCCACGGGTTCCGGCCGGTACGGCGGTATGGGAGCCCGTCGCCGGAGCATCCGGAGGGGGGCGCTCGGCCTCGTCGCCTGAAGTGGACGGGCCCGGAGAAGAGCGCCGCTGGCTAGAGTGCGGGAGCAGGAGCGTTTTCCGGTTTGCTTCCGCTTAGAATGCCTAAGCAGCACCTTCCCTTTAAAATGCATTGTATCCCTGAATAAAAGGGAAAAGCATGGGCTTCTTGGAAAACTTGAGGTTGGGTTCTTTTTAGTTATTTATTTAGAAAATTTCTAGGCCGCCCCATTCGCCGAAGCCTCGGGGCGGCTTACAAATAAATAAATTAAAATAAATAGCAATATAAAATACACGTAACTGTATAAAATAAGTCGTCCTGGCCAAAAAACTTTAAAGTAAAAATAACATTAACAATTAAAATGACGCTTGAATGAAAAGGTCTTCACCTGGCGCCGAAAAACAAATAACGACGGCGCCAGGCGGACCTCTCTGGGGAGCGCATTCCATAGATTGGGCGCCACCGCAGAGAAAGCCCTCCTCCGAGTACTCGCCCTCCTAATTTCCTTCACGTTCCCGGAGGGTTCCCGGAGAAGGGCCTCTCCCGCTGATCTCGGGGTGGGCGGGCATATATGGACGTAAGCGCTCCTTCAGGTAGCCAGGACCCAAGCCGTTTAGGGCTTTATAACTGATCACCACCAACAAAAGAAACTGATGGAGCATATCAGCTTGGAAACAAACTGATATGCTCCATCAGGACCCATTGATGCCCTTACAAGCCCTTGCAGGTACAATGTTCTTGTCTTGCTGCAGAAATGTTATTCACATTCTCCCCATTCTGGAAGGCAGATTTAGGGAATTGCAGGATCCTAGACAACACCATCTGCTTCTGGGAGAGGAAGTGCATGGTGCATGCAGACCCACTCCAGAGTTTACTCTCCTGTTCTGAAAGGCTGTTCCTCGTATACCCAAGCCTGAGCCTTGGAAGGTTCCGGTACACAAAGGGCCCACCGCGTGGAACACTGGGTGCAAGTGCCGTTCTCAGCTAAGAGCCTGGGCATCTCAAGTGAGGGGCCATATTTTCTGTGTCTTACTGTCTGTTGGACAGTTGTCTATAATTAAGGGGAACTTAGCTAGATGGTAGAACAATGCATGTGATCAGGCATGGAGAGTCACTGAGGGGCTTCCTTCCCCCTCATTAGGTAAGACACCTCCAGGCAGCTTCTGGCTTCTCCTTCCAAATGATGGTTGAGACTTGCTGACACCAGGCTGCAGTTGTAGGGCCCTCTAGCTCCTTTGCTTCACAGGTGTGCAGTACTCACTCACTCATTTGTAGCCTGTTTTTCCACCAGAAAAATGCTCTGGAGTACCTTTAGGAGATCATGCTGCCTGGTTTCTCTCTCAGCTTGAGGCATAGACATACTCTGTGTGATGCATTTCTGTGCTGTTTCTTTCAGGCATAACATGGGTCCTGGTTTACAGAACGGACAAGTATAAGAGACTGAAAGCAGAGGTGGAAAAGCAGAGTAAAAAGTGTAAGTGCTGTCCCCAGAAATCAGGGGACTCAGGGTGGTACTGAACTGCACTGGCTGCATTAGAGCTTAGCTAGCTTGACTTGACGAAATGAATCCCTGTTAAGGGTTCTGCACTAAGGAAGAATCCCTTGTATGCAGGTACAGGTTACATCTCCCTTTGTGGGCTGGATGCGGGGGTGCTAGTTGTGTTACAGAATCAGCATTTCAAGTGCTAAATGAGAGAATTTACACTGGAAGGAGAGATTGTCTTTTCCACTGCCCTACTCCCCACAAAAAACTTTGTGAGGCTACAAGCTGTAAACTATGTTAACTGTGTCAAAATATGTGTTCTACTAACTTCAGACATGATGGTATTCTATACATGTCTATAACTGCTTGGAATACTTGGTTCAGTTCTGGTCACTTCTGAAAATAATATTGTGGAACAGGAAATAATGAAGAAAGGGCAAGGGGCTGGATCTATTTCTCTATAAGCTAACGGAAATTATTTCGCTCAAGAAAAATGTGGACAAGAGGAGATAGGACAGAGGCATACAAAATTCGGCACGGTGTGGAAAAAGTAGACAGGGGGACTTTTTTCCTAGATACTGCTAGATTTAGGAAGAATAAACCAAAGCACTACTTCTCACGTTGCATAGTTAAACAATGGCGTTCATTTCCACAAGATGCAATGGCCAGTAATTTGGATGGGTTTAAAAAAGATTAGACAAATTAATGGAGAAGGTTTTCAATGGTTGTTACTCCTGATGGTTCTATGGTGTTTCTGACATCAAAGGAGGCGTACCTCTGTATTCTGGTTGTTTATTGTTTATTTATTGTAGCATTTTTATGCTGCCCCCATCGCAGAAAGCCTTGTTGAGTAATTTAAGTGATGCCCTGTGTCTCTGTGTTCCCCAGGAAGTTGGCTGACCATTGTTTGGTCTAGATGAATGCTTGGTCTGATCCAGCATAGCTCTTCTTTTATGATTAGGTTGTTTTATTTCCTTGAACTAAGTGTACATGCTGTAATAGGGTTTCAGAGTATTTTTAAGATACTGTCTAAACAGACAACCATATTTGGACAATGCCAGAATACTAGTCTAGCATGTCACAAAATGCTCAGTCAGTGGAGTCTTCCAGTTTGCTTCATGGCCTGCAGTAGGGATTCTGCCCTCGGAAGTGATGTGGCCCTTGCCTTCTGGCTTGCTCTCCTCCAGCTGGACTGACCTGGTGTCACACCACAGAGGACAGAACCGAGTCATGCTATACGCTCCAATCAGGCAGCTTGGTCATGCTGCAGCAGCCAAGCCAGCCCGTTTTCCTTACTCTTTGAAGCATATTTTAGAACATAAGATCTCGTCGGGGAGGCTCCTCCTACTGCAGACACTGAACATTTTTCATGTTTCTCTGGATAACAGGCAACAAACAAATTGCTATACATGTTAACATCTCATTTTGAAAATAAGTGACTACTGCTGCCTGTTAAATGTTGTGTATGTAAAAGCGCTGCAGTGCCTGCCATAGTACTTCAAGGTGCATGGCTATATATTCCCCCAAAGGCAGTATTGGATTCCTGGGAAAATGTATCTGGTTTACATAATTAATGGATGTAATATTTATTTATTTAAAACATTTCTATGCCGCCCCATCACAATAAGCCTCGGAGCGGCTCACAATATAATAATAAGAGTCCAATGCTTATTCCCAAATGGCAATAGAATTGAGGGTTTCTGGCATTCTTTGCAGCAGGGTAGGGGCAGTTTTCAGCCTACCTGTCTGTCATAGTTTTATTACACATGTTTGAAGAGATCTGGAAGGCAAAGAGAAAGGTGGCTACTATATTTATGGATGAACTCACTGTGTTGTCTATCTCCACAGTGGAAAAAAAGAAAGAGACCATAACAGAATCAGCAGGTCGACAGCAGAAAAAGAAAATAGGTAACAGAGGGGGCTGATGTTGGCATGTGCATGTGCGTGCAGTTTTGTGGGAAGGCCTTGTCAAGTTTTATAAGGGGGAAGTCTTCATTTCTGGTCTATTGCTTACTCTAAAGAATGCAATGAAAAAATGGTTATCTGGAAATTTAGATACAGTGGTATCGCGAACAACAATTTCATGAAAATTTTGACTTGGATCGCGAGCTCTGCATTGGTTAGCAACCAAGATCGCAGCCATCTCCCCACCCCCACAAGATGTGCGTGATCATGGGCGCGCTCCTGCAGGAAAGACGGGCGCAATCTTGACCATCTCCCCCACCTCCCAACCAGCACGATCGCGGCCATCTCCCTACCCCCCTGAGTGGGGAGATGGCCACGATCGCAGTTGCGTTCGTGCAGGGAAGACGTGCGTGATCGCGGCTGTGCTGTGCTGTGCTGGGCCCGTCTTTCCTGCAGGAGCGTGCCCGTGCCAGGATTTCTTTGAGAAGCACCACCCCAACATAACTCTAACGAACAGAGTATTGAATCTGATGAACGATAACGTGGTCTCTCATTTCCGGAGGGTTATGCAGCGCAGGAAAAAACAAGTGACTATAGACAGATTTTCCACCCAAATTGACCCTGCAGCTAAGAGACAGAGAGGAAACCCCTGGAAGATCTCCCCAATGTCCTTCTGGAGGGGGACTCTCCCTCAAAACAATAACCTCCCCCCCACCTAGGTTAGTGTTCTCCACTGTACTGTACAGTACTGTGTTACTTTGCTGTTCTTTGTCACTTGGTTTCTGATTTAAAAAAAAATAGTTACAGAACGGATTAACCTTATTTACATTGAACCTTATGGGGAAATTTGATTTGGCTCGCGTCCAAAAATTGGCTCACAACCACATTCGGAGGGGCCAGAACGGATTAACCTTATTTACATTGAATCTTACAGGGAAATTTGACTTGGGTCACAACCAATTTGGGTCACAACCAGGGTCGTAGAACGGATTAAGAGCCGAGGTACCACTGTATTTCCTTGTGACAAAAGCAAGCCTTCTGCATTCGTATTTCTCTCTCTCTCCACTTTCTTTCAAAAATAAAACATTATTTTAATGTTACATTAATGTAACATTTTACTTATTTTAAGGTTTCATACTGTAATTTTCTCCTCCAGAGACAGACAGAAGAGAAATGAGAATAGTTACTGAAATACCAACAAAAAAAAATACAGACATTCTTTTCCAAGGATAAAAATGTGATGGTGGCTAAAAGTTCCATCCTCACATTTTCATGAGGAAATAAACTGTGCCTGTCCTCCTAAAACGGAAGAAGAGCACTAGGTTTTTTTCCCCATGGAATGGAGACGGCTCACAGAGGTTCTATACAAGAATATTACGATTGTCATTTAGTTTATGCAGATGGTACTATCTGCAAAATCGGGTGTTAGTTCTGAACTTGCCTGTGGCCAGAGCGAGTGTGCGGCCTACACAGTGTCCAGTGCGTTGGCAGTTGTGGCCTTCTTGCTGTCGCAGCACCCACAGCGAGTTCGCAACCTCGAGATGTTTGAGTTTGCTCAACGGTTCAGAATTCCAACATGCCTTCCCATTATGCCAGGAAAGTGGCTCGGAGCCCGTTTTTCCCTCCTGCGGTATCTCTTTGCTGTGTTAGTTCCTCAGAGCCTTATTGGAAGCAAGCTTCTGCATTTGTAATCAGAATTTTTTACTCGCTGTTTCTCAGAGCGACAAGAAGAGAAACTGAAGAACAACAATAGGGACCTGTCAATGGTGAGTGACTGAGCCGTGGCCGAGGGAGCGTTGTCGCGGTTCTGTTTGGAAGAGCCGTGCACTGAACTGGCCCGTCGCACCACAAATGGGAGGTGGCCCTAGATCCCATCCCTGTGGGAAGGGGAAGCTGTGACGGCTCCCTGATGCGCACGGTAGGCAGGGGAGCCCGGTGTGCACAGTGCTCAGCACGCTCCCCCCTCCAGTCACGGCGCGATCATCTCACTTCCCCTTGCCTTTCGCTCGGTTCCACGTACTTGGTGCCGCTCGGGCAGCAGCGCGCTGGTGTGCTGCGTCCCCTGCCGCCCGCTCTGTGCGGCCCATTTCGTGCCTGCTGTTTGTGCCCGGCTCCTCCTCTTGCCATTCTTGTTGTGCGAAGCCTTGTGCGACGTGCCGTTGAGGACGTTGCTGAGAGAGAGCTTGCTGCTCCTCTTTGCATGGCTTGAGTTGGAGGGCCATAAATGAACGGTGCAGGATTACAAGTAAAAGGACAACGTGATTCAGTGATTCGAGCACTGAAGTTGAATGGACACCCTGCCCACGTGCGCACACACAGGCGGGGAGCAGATGGCAAGATGGGGCGTAGCTTGTGGGAGCTTTGGCACTGAGAGCCAGCCAGTGAGTGAACTCGTGAGGTTCTCAGTGTGCGGACAGTGTCTGCCAGTTTGGTCTAATGAATGTTACTCACTCAGGCCCAACAGCGGCTGGAAATACTGCCTTATATTGAACAGAGTATAACTTCTGGGTAAGGATGCCCAGCTTAATGAAAATTGTGAGCAGAAGACTCATGTGAAGAGCAGGCCATTTGTGGACGTATCCAGAACACCATCTGGTCGTTTTATTGGATGAGTTCCAGATGTTCTGGACAAGGTGCTCACCAGATGCACTGGAACAGCTTTCAGTTGATCCTTGACCCCTTGGCTTATGACATAGGAGCTGAGGAGAGGATATTTGGCTGGGTCCAGGAGATCATACATTCCTCTTTGAGCGAGGAGAGTAGAACCACCTTTCTGAAAAATGCTGTGGTTAGGCCATTAATGCAGGAACTTTACCTGTACCCAGAAAAGTTCAGCTAGAGGAGGGAACCGAGCTGGGCTGGAGGATTACATCTCCCTCCCCTACAGGGCCAATCAGACTGGTAGAGATGGAGGGGCCAAGAAAGCTGTCTGTTCCGACCCCCTGCTCAGCACAGGATGGCATGGCGGTGTAAGGGCGTTTTGCCACCCGTGTGCCCTCTGCTGGGAGAGCGAGCAGCGTGCAAAGGGGAATCCTGTTACCTGTGTGGTTAACTGGAGGTGACGGGGATGCTGTTCCGCATCCAGCAGACCTGGGCCCTGGCAGAGGTGGAGGTGTATTGATGAGCTGGGCCAGGCTCTTGGGCCAGCAGGTGCCCTTCTCTGATCTAAGTAACTGCAGGATAGTTGCTAACAGCCCTTTCTTGAGCAAGGTGGCTATTTTCATTTAATTCAGACTGTATGTTGTGTTTATTGTTTCATTTTTGTATTTTATGGGTTCAACCTCTTATTTGTGAAGTAGGTAGATACCTTTGGCTATTGGGTGATATCTAAAGTTAAGCAGATTTTATAACCTTTGCTTCATTACGGCAGGAAACAAGATGGGATGAGGAAGCTGGGCCATTAAGTCCCATCGCTCAGCCTTCTAGAGCCTGCGGCCTTGTCTGGCATATTCAGGCAGAAATGCCTGACGGCTTCGCCGCTTCAGCCAGGATTGGCTGTTGGTCCACGCACAGACCCAGAAACGGATTTTCCCCTCCATCTTTTGCCTTCCTGCGTCAAAGTCCCATTTGTCAAACACTCACAAGTCCTACTCTTCCCTTTGATTGCAGGTTCGCATGAAGTCCATGTTTGCAATTGGCTTTTGTTTCACTGCTCTGATGGGAATGTTCAATTCCATGTAAGTGGCCACCGCCCTGCTTCTCTTGCACTGCCTCTAAAACTGTCCTGTCTCTTCTTCCCTGTTTGTTTTCGCAGCAAACGGTGCCTTGCTGAGAACCCGACATGAGATCTGCCGAGCAGGCAAGAGGGCTGGCGCAGACAGCGCTGCGCCATCGCCGGCTTGCATGTGGCGAGGCTCCCTCCACTGTGACGTGGAATACCGGGGCACCTATACTTTGTTTTCAAGGCTAGAGAGAAACTCTTCGAGGGCTGGAGATGGCAGGCAGTGTGTGTGTGTGTTTTGTTAGGATGTTGTTCCAGTAAGAAGGAGGCCGGGCCCCTTTCTTTGATGTTTGCTGCTTCAGTGAACAGGGCAGGCAGCCAGGTTGAACTTCTGGACATGCGCAGGTTAGATGGACGTGGAGCGGCCTCCGCGTTTTCAACCAGCCCTGCAAAAGGGAATGGTCTCGGCTTTCAGCGAGGATTCACGGCCTTTATGCCGGTCTCAGTGAACAACCTGAGTAGTCCTTGTTGGATGCATAAGGGGCCCCCTTTAAAGCCACCCTGCCAAGCTAGTTGTCCTCCAGGCTCACTCTGGGTCTGCCGGATGGAGCCTGCTCGCTCCACTGCACAAGCGGGCATTTGCCTCCTTGCCAGATGCTTTTCTTTTGGTTGTGAAATGATTGGGATTGAGCAAGAGGAAGAGACGTTCCTTGCGCTGCCTGGTGCCCCAGCAGCTGGCTTGTGTCCCTCACCATGTCAGAGCGTTGGGCCCATTCCCTGAAATACTTCCTGCTCATTTCCCCCTCCTAGCTGTGTCCAGAAAAGAAGGCAGGAACCATGTAGACCACGGGGGGGGGGGGGCTAGCAAAGTGAGACAAACACCCATTCCTGTGTCTTCTGCCAGAATGCTTCGCTCCTTGTAGTCATCTCTCGAGGAAGACAGGTGCAAGATGCAGGTTAGCACAAGCCTGAATTCAGTGGTCCACTTCTGTCTCCAAAGCAGTTGAGTGCATCCGGTACTTCTGCACTGCCAGCACCTTGAAACAGGCAGGTGCACGTTGCCTTGCCTGACAGGGACCCTTCCTCGTTGGCTCCTGACAAAAAGTGCTCAGGGCCTCGTGCTCGGATGTTTCCCTCTGCTGGGACGTTTGCCCCCACGCGGTTGTGCTGAGCCGGCTGTTGCTCTGCTGCTTCCGGCAGCACAAGCTTTGCTCAGGCAGGCTGGTGGTACAGATTTGGCCCCCCAGGCCGACCTTCTTGGGAAGGTAGGTTAAGGCTCAGGGGATGCAACACCTGCTCTGCCGTGCCTCGCGGCCGCGGATGCAGCTGAGGGCACGGTGGCTCTGCCAGAGTCCGCCACGTGGACCCACCATCGTTGCAGCGGCGGCACAGTGAACTGCAGAGGGCCGTGGCAGTGGGGGGAAGGTCTCTCTCCCTGGGTGGCAAGCAGGGCACTTCCGCTGTTTGCTGCCCACCGGGAGGCAGGGGCCCCACAGCAGCGTTTCCCTGTGGTGGCACAGGCTGATGGGGGGAGCCGATCTGGAGGCCCCCTGGCTGGGGAGCCGCAGGGCCCTAGCTCTGCTTCCAGCCAAAGCCCTCCCTCAACCCAGCTTCTCGGGTGGCCGTCAGCTTCCTGCTGCAGCACGGTGCCTTCTCCTGTGCCTTCGGTGGCGCTTGCAGGGGGATGCTCCTGGCCCCGCTGCTGAGCTTGCGAGCTTCCCCACACTTGCTCCAGGCACTCGTCTTCCCCGCAGGCTCTTTCCCAAGTTCAGTCACTGCAGCTCTAAGACCAGCCCAGTCTGCTCAGCGGCAGGAGGGGCAGCTGCATCGGTGCCCGGAACGTGCCACCGAACCGCCGCCCTGGCAGGGGAGAGGGGATGCATTGTGTGTGGAACCTGCGGCAATTTGGAAGATGGCAGGCAAAGCGCAGCCCTGTGTGCTGGGTTAGCGTGGAGCGGACTTGAGCCCTGGTAATGGCGACGGTTTTGCTTTTTCCAGATTTGACGGTCGAGTGGTTGCAAAACTCCCTTTCGTGCCCCTTTCCTACATCCAGGGCTTGTCCCATCGCAATCTTCTGGGTGAGGATTACACAGACTGCTCTTTTATCTTCCTCTACATTCTCTGCACCATGTCGATTCGGCAGGTAAGAGTCGCGCTGCTTTATTCACGTTCCCTGCTTCTGACAGGGCCCGGCTCTAGCTTGCGCGAAGCTGCAGAAAGCCTGCTACTCACAGGACTTTTCCTGCCACTTGAGCTCTGGGGTCTCCATGTGACTTTCTCTAGCAAGCTGTTGCTGCTTCATACCCATGTCGAGCAGCCACGGTGCTTTGATAGACGTTCAGCCGAACTAGCAGAATATTTGCATCCATGGTTCACCTCATAATGCAAACACAAAAGGGGAGGAGGGGGCTCCTTCTGCTAAGAACGCCTCAAAATGATTACTCCGTTCTCTCCTAATCTGCTTTTTGTAATCTCTGATCACGCACAGCGGCACTCAAGGCTGAAATAAGAATTTGGCTCTACTCCCCAAAACAGGGAGCAACCGGAGCGGCTGTGCTGTGATTCGGCCAGTGCCTGCCTGGAGGCCAGGCTGGCAAAGCTCCTCGTAATAATATAAGCAAAACCCGCAGTAGGCAGAGGTGCGGTACTTGGTGTTTAAAGTTCAGGGGTGCAGATTTTTCTGGTCTGAACCTATGCAGAGAAGTTGGTAGCCTGAAGCTGCACTGTGGCTCACCGTGCCGTTTCTGGTCACTCAGACGGAGTGCGAGGAGGACTGAGCGGCAGGTGGTTCCTGCCTTCCGCTGCTCGCTCGTTTTGGCAGGGATGGCATCTCCCTGGAAGAGTGTCCATGCCTTTTTGTGGTTAGGTGGATAGCCCTCTGGCTCCTCCCATGTCATCCGGGAAGAAGCGCCAAACCTGCGCCAGCCTTGCTCAAGAGTGGGACATTGGCGAGGGGGAGCAATTCCCATGGAACAGAGTGCAATATGGCCAGAAACTTGTTTATATTTTGAAAAAATACTGAGCTCCTGCATCTCAGAGCAGCTTTAACATTGTCATCTAGGTTTTAAAACACCCATTTAGGACCTTTTAAGTCTCATTCAAAGATGCAAAGTTCACCTGTTCAGGTAAAGAGAGTTCTACTGTGCCAACGTATTAATCGCATATTTTACCCTTCCTCCAAAGAACTGGGGGCAGCGTGTTTGGGCCTGTCGGGGAGAGTCCTCTTTGCAAAACCCACGTGACACAGGCTTAGCCTAGGAGCCATAACGTAAAGCCCGGTTTCCCTGGAGCGCATTTGCTCTCCTCACTATCTGGACTGAGGCTGCGTGGGCCTGAGACAGAGGCTGGTGCTCCTGCTGCTGGGAAGGGCTCTCCCGCAGGCGGGATGCGAGCACTCCAGGATGTGTCCAGGGCAACACTGGACTGCGGAGGGAGAGCACATGTGGCTGCGGACGCTCCGCTCGGGAGGCCCTGCGTGAGTCACCCGTGAGCTTGAGGCAGCTTTGGCCACTAGTCGCAAACGTCTCCAGACGTGGGCATGTCCTTGGAGACCGCGACCCCTCGCTGGGCTCATGCTCCGGCCTGGGCCTCCTCTCACTGAAGGCTCAGTGGTGTGGAGCAGTACCCATGGAACACCCGTTGATTCCCCCACAGAGAGGACCGTTCAGTCAAGAGGCAGGACAGGCTGTCCCTACAGTCTCAGTTCAGCTTTGTGCCAAATAGCACTTGTAACACAGTGAGTAAACCAAAGAGCAGCAGTTTTGTGAGGCTGAGCAAGATGTTGGCCGTTTACTCTGAGAAAACTGGCTTTGTATTCCATACCACGCTCAGTGCTTGTGTTTCTGTGCTTTGCCAGAACATTCAGAAGCTGCTGGGCCTGGCCCCTTCCCGAGCGGCCACCAAGCAGGCCGGCGGATTCCTTGGCCCTCCACCTCAGGCTGGGAAGTTCTCCTGATGCAAATCGAGTGATCTGCAGCGTGCCAGCGGAACCCGGAAAACTGTTCTCACTGCAAGAAGCGGAGACTCTGGGGAGGGCTTGGTTGGCTCAGGGCAACTGTGTGTTTCATCAGGGGCAAATCCTACATCCTGCTTGGCGTTACTGGAGAAATATGTCAGTAGTTCTTGGTGGGCTGCCTTGCTTCAGGGAAAACTTCAGAAAAGCAGTTCCACTTGATGAGAAAATGGCTAAAGAACAGTGACTGAGCCATACAAGTAGCATCCAGCTGGAAGACTGCCATGTGACGTGAAAATAAAGAATTGTGCTCGGTTTCTGTGTATACTGCTGATTCAGCTCACTCTTTTGTGCTTTTTGGTAGAAATTGCCTCAGAAAGGCCTTCAATCCGCAGAGGGCTGCCACATCAGTCCTTGCTTTCCTCCGCGTGTTTCAGTTGCACTCCGCTGGTCGGGCCTGGCCTTGCATCCAAGCAGCGATCGCCGTGCCAAGTGTGAGCCGCACCTGAGGGCACACCACCGTCCGGATTCGCATCTCGCCTGCTCTTCTAGAGCGCAGCGCGCTTTCCGTCTCGCTCGATGCACGGGCAGCCCACTGCAGTGGCCATGAGGGGGCAAACTCTCATCTAAAGAGAATGCGAGTCCAGGTGCCACCGCCATTACCTGGATGCTGGCACATTCCTTGGTGCTGGAGCCACAGCTGGAATGGCGTTTCTGAAGCAGGATCCTGCCCTGCTGGGACAAGGGCAGAAAAGGTCATAAAGGCCCGAGGGGAGGGGCAGCCCCCTTGGCCGGGGCTCATTCCTGCGGGTACGGTGGAGGTGTGCTGTGCAGGCAGTGGGTAGAAGTTTTCCTTCTCATCAAACTAGGTCATGCGGGGTTTCTAGGGGAGCTCAATGGTGGGTGATTTAGGGCATGCGAAAGGAAGGAGGTCACCAGTAGTAGCGGTGTTGATGCCCAGCAGCTTAGGTGGCTTTAAAATGTATGGGGAATAATTACTAAATATGCTACCGCAAGAATCAGGAAAGCAGAACGTCTGTTCGCCAGTTGCTGGAGAACCGCACCAGGATGGGGCTGCTGTCCCTGTGCTCTGCGCGTGGGCCTCCTGCGAGCCCCTGGTCGGCTGCTGAGGGGAAAAGGGATGCTGTGCCGGAGGAGCCTGTGCTCTGATGCAGCACGCCTGCCTTGGTTCTTAATGACAAGGCACTTCGGTTTCAGTGTTGCTAGAAGCAGATTAGAACAGCCCCAGGAAAATGCTTTTACTAGGCACAAAGATGCTAGGGACGGGAAAGCCAGGGTTTGACTGCTAAGGTGAACACTGAGCCTCCCGTGCTGCTGAGGCCCGTCGGGGGCCCCTTCCGAGGTTACCGCCCCACTTCCAAAGCATTAGAACTGCCGGGATCAGAGCAAAGGTCTGTCTAGCTTGACATCCTGCTGTCAGATGTGTGAGTGAAGCGCGCATGTCGTGAGCGGAGCCGGCTGGAGCGGGGGTCAGACTAGATGGCCCGGGAGGCCCCTTCTGATGCGCTCTGTCTCTGTGTTTCCTTTTGTTTGTCTCTAGCATCTGAAGCTCATGAAACACGGAGCCTCCATTAAACTGATTGTTGGGAAACGGCTATTGATAGATTTATCTATCAAAACTATCTAATTTTTTTGGCAGTGTAGCCTGACAGTTGCACTTTATGTGAAGTGCTTGCTTTTTTCTGTCCTGAATCTCAGTCAATTTCATTAGCTGCCCCAAATCTAGACTAAAGATAACCAGAGACTGCCAGCCTGGTGAGGACATTTGTGACTTTGAAAAGGTTTTGTAGGCATTATTGCAAAATGGCTACCCAAGGGAACGCGCCTGTTCTCAGAATCGCTGCTGTGTTGAGCTGTTCTCAGAAGCCCATTCCATAGAAGACGAAGAGCGAGCGTAACAGACGGAGAACTTGCCCAGAAAACTGAGCACAGAGTCGGGTCTGAGTCCCACCTTCCCCCTTCCCCCACAGAGTACCCCCCAAGCCCTGTGCTGCCAGACGCACACTGCACTCACGCGCAGCCTCACCTCTCCCTCCTCCAGCCCCCCGTTTCTTCAGACTGCTGCTGCTGTCATCTGGAGGCCCGGTTATGCTGGGCCCTGCCTGTGGGGCAGTCTTGGGTGGTGGGGCCCTCCCCTCCCCTCCCCTCCAGTGTAAGAGGCCAGCTGGCTCCTCCTGGTCACCTTCGCTCCTCTGGAGGCAGTGCCTCCCCCAGGCATCCCGGTTTGAAGCCATGTGGTGGGAGGTGGATTTCTCCAGACATGAGTGGAAAACAACATGAGTGGGAAAAAAAGACAAAGGGAAAAGAAATGAACAGACACGGGGAAGCCTGAGCTGTGCCCTGCAACCACCCACCAGGGGGCAGCACAGGACACGTCAGCTTGAACCAGGTTCTCCAGTGTGATGCTCTCCAAACATGCCTCAATCTCAGCTGCCTCTTGAAGTCTCCATGGTGGGGAAAAGTGTGGTGGACTAATCACAGCTGAACACATGCCTCATGCAGTCAACTGCAAAATTCGCAAATCTGGATAGCCAAGGTTTGGGGTGTGGCAGGAAATGGGGCAAAAAGCAACTCCTACTTCATATTTTTAAGGAAATCCAGTTCATTTGGCACACAAAACACCCCCCTGCCCTCTGTTTCGAAACTTTAATCTAGTAAGGCTAACCCATTTAGGGCAGTGTAAGCTGATTTATTGTTGGCCTCTGTCCATGCATGAGACTTGCCCTTCTTTATGCAAAGACAGCCCTCTTCCATGAGGAGGGCTGAAAGCTCATTTTCAAACAACCCGCACGACACACTTTATAAGCAAATGTAAGCTGGAAAACACCAGCATGCCTGAACAGAGGTGCATGTTGTGAAGGAATGTGTGCACGTAACCGCATACAGAAAGCTTGGGCACAAGTGTGTGGTGCCTGCAGGGCACACACTAGTGTCAGGTGATTCAAAGAAGAAATTTTAGAATCCGAAAGGCTTCTGCTGAAGAAATGTGTTAAGGTTCTTGCAAATTCACATGTACACCAAAAGTCACATGGATTGCTGTACACTGGCCAGAGAGCTTCAACCACTGGGTGATGCAGACGTCAACTGAATCAGCAAGCAGACAGACCATAGTTTAAGGGACCCCCCCCCCACACACACACACTATCTCAACCGTATAGCCCACAGATTCACTTGCTTACCTTTTCACGCCCCACTGCTTCCCCTCCGTCTTTCAGCCCCCAACCCTCACGTCTGCAGGCGAAGAACAGCCGACGCCGAGCGCAGTTGTGTCTTCAGCAGCAGAGCTTCGGAACAAGGCCGCAAAATGGCACGTTATGGAATAATAAAACCCCTGATCCATTTCGCTACCCTGGGGGCAGGAAGGGCAGCTTTCCTACTGAGGCCATGGCTTCACTCTGTTCCCATGTACCGAAGGAGGCCTTTCCAAATTGTCTTGGGGATTATACTGTTCCCGGGTTCCCAGGCACTGCTGCAGGAAGGCCTCGCCAGCTGCGGCCTTGTCCTCCCAGAAGCCTCATGCGCCAGACGCGGGGCTGGCACTCTCCTCGCACAGACTCGTTCACCTGGAGGGGCCGGTGCGTGATGCAGGGTGCCCAGAGTTTGCGTGGAGGTGCATTTTGTAACTGCCATCCAAGATGCAGCAGGGGTCGCATGAAACTAGTGGTTCAATGGGGACAAATGTGACTCTCCAGAGCATGGCTCCTCAAACTACAGCCGCGGGCCAGATCCGGCCCGCCACAGAGGTTTTGGACTAGCCGCACACATGCATGGCAAGGCGGGGGTTCCTCGTGCAGAGACCGTTTTGGACTCGCTCGGAGAAAAGGCTCTCCTTGCGAGCAAGCTGTTGCCTCGCCGCGCACGCCCCCCCCCCGGCCCGCGCTCCCCACCCGCACCTCCTTGGCAGCCCACGCCCATCGCCAACACCTTTCAGCTGGCCCCGTTAAAAAAGCTGGAGGACCCCTGCTCCAGAGGAAGTCCCAGAGGTCTGCGTTACGGGTTGAGCCAAGGCTTGCTGTGGGTTACAGGGGCAAATAAAATCCAGTTCCTTGCCAAGTTTAGTGGCTCAGCTGTTTTCTTTCATGCAGATAAAGAACTGGCAACTGGCAGCTAGAAACTAACTTCAGCCTTGGCCCAGAGAGAGTTGCTGCCACAGGGCAGCTGGCCAAACCAGATGGCAGCCAGCGTCTTGAAATAATCACATTCACACAAACTGTCCATTTCGTTTTTTAAACATTTAAAAAATACAGTGGTGCTGTGTGCATATTTTGGTGCACAGGCTTCTTCTGCAGATCAGTACTGAATTTTGTTCTGGGAGTTCGTGTTAGGAGACAATTTAACAATATTGACTTTTGCTGCAACTAGAGAGGTTGCAATTTGGAAAGATTTTGGCTGAAAATTGAATCTACCTTTAACCTGCAATGTTAACATTGTTTTTCTTACCTTATCAGTTAATGACTGTTATTTTATCCTGTCCTGTTTTATTGCATTTTACAATGAGTTTTATTTTATGATCTTGTGAATGACCCTGATTGTTATTTATTGAAGGGCTGTATCCTTGCGTGCCATCAACTCATCTCCAATGGATGGTGACCCTTTGGAGGAAAGTCCTCCAAATCATCCTGTCCTTCACAGCCCTCCTCTGCCCTTGTGAACGCCAGGCTGTGGCTTCCGTAAGCTTGTTCACACATCTCAATAACATGAAAAATACCAGCATCTCCCAATAACATGAAAAATACCAGCATTACAGATTGATCACAAGCATCTCAGAACAGAAGAGCTGGAAGGAGCTTACCAGGCCAGGCAGTCCGACCCTATTCTCACTGTGACGTTGCATTTCCAGGCCAAGCTTTTGCCCCTTGTGAGGAACTGGAGATGCCCTATATCGCTCCGTTTTATCCTAACAACAACCCTGTGAAGTAGGCTGGGCTGAGAGGCACAGTCCCCCACCGGGCCTCACTGCTGCGTGGGGAGCAGGGCCCGGGTCTCCCAGGCCCTGGCCCAGCCCTCCCAATCACGCTGGCTGTCAGAGGTTGGGCTGGGTCCAAGCAGTCGTAATCCTTCCCCGGGGGTGCGGGGGGGGGGGTGCCACAAGGGTGCCAGCTGTGCCTGCAGGAAAACCCACCACCTTCTGGAACCCATCGGAATCCATTTGCCTCCACTGGGGGGGCATTTTAAAAGCCCTTGCCAGGGAAAGGGCCACAGAGGGGCCAGATCAGAAAGCAAACCAGCCACGACGCCGATGGGACTCCTGGCATGCTAAGCCACTGTGCGGGGGGCGGGGGGGGCAGGATGTTGTCTGAACACCCCCTGCTTCCCTGGTGCGGGGCTTATAAGGCCTCCAACAAGCTCACACAGCTCCTAGGCTGTAGGAAAACGGGGGTTTGTCATGCCCTGTGAAGCAGGCACCCCAGCCAGGGTCAAGGCCAGCACTCGAAGAGTCGGGGCACTGCCCCCCCAGCCAGGGGCTGCTGCCGCCACTTCCCGTGTGCCTGCTGATGTCGAGTGAGGGGGGGCTGCGGGGGGTAGGGACCAGGGCCGTCTGAACGCATGGGCCTGATGGGCCCTTGCCCGTGGGCCCCATTCTAATCTGTGTATGTTAACCCTTGGAAAATTGGAAAACTTCCAAAGTTAACAGTAGTTGTAGTTGCCCGGGCCCATCATGCTGTTAAGACGGCCCTGCATGACAGCCCAATACGCGCCACCTTTTTCGGCCACAGCGGGGCTGCGCCCTGCGCCCCCCGTGCCGTCAGCGCGGCTGAGCCCCCCACGGCCGCTCGCCAGCTTCGGGGGTCCCGCCGAGGGCTTTCTGCAGAAGCGGCCCGGGCAGGCACGCCCGCGGGGGCACCTTCTCCTCCCCGAGACGCGGGCGGGCCCAGGCCGGCGGGGGCGGGGGCCGCGCGAGCCCTTCCCCGCCTCGGGCTCCGGGGGCGGGGCCGCGGGCCCCGGGGGAGCCGCCACC